CTTTACTTTAGCTTACTCTCTAATTTACTAGTTGTCCCGGAGTGAAGAGGAAGAATATTACGGTGTGATTTAGATAAGTGAGGAGGATAAACTGGCTAATGTCTTGTCATGGTCCTCTCACTTTGAGCAAAATTGTGACTAGATATAACCGAGGTTTTTAAAATTATAATCTTTGCAAAATATTCAAAGACATTTTGAACACAGCTATTATGAAAGTTGATTTTATGATAGGAAATTAACTGCAATCACCCGGTGGGAGTCCAAAATGTCAAGTATTCTTGCTCAGTCTTCATTATTTTTGGATGCTATCTCTTACATTTAACGCTATTCGTCTTAAAAGAAGGCTTAAAATATTGCTGTTGTTTTTTCAAATGTTTTATTCGCATTTGGACTTCATTTTTTCATTCTCAGACTTGAAGGCCTTCATGGCATTGTCGTAAGTATGGGTGGTCAGACGCCGAACAACCTTGTTATGCCGATGCACCGGTTGGGCCTTAAGATCCTCGGGACCAGTCCAGAATCTATCGATACCGCAGAGAACCGTTTTAAATTTAGCCGGTTGCTTGATCGCCTTGGCATCTTACAGCCGAGTTGGAAAGAGGTGACAGATATCGAGTCAGCTAAGATTTTCTGTCAGCAGGTATGTGGCTTTGAGCTCAACGCTCTTACTTACTATCATGATTTTCGAGTCAATCTTTATAGTTGCTTAATACCATTTTTGCCCCTCTTTTATGCCAAGTTGGTCTGCATTGAAGATTATATCTAAAGAGAACGGATCAAGCAAATATTCATTTACATAAGGTTTTATAATCTTGTTCGCTTGATGTTGCAATATTAATCCTTGTGTTAGTAAATTAGTCATAGTAAATCGTGTCATAACGATATTTCTCTTAGAAACTTTTTAGGAAAAAAAATTTCACTCACGCATTTCTTCTTAGGAATTAGTAAATTATATTGAAGTGATCGAAGATATGAAGACCAAGATGGTGTGGCCTTTTGTGTGGTCGCAGTCTCCTTTCGTTGTATAG